TGATGCCATATACGAAAATATTATTGGAGAGAATAATGGCTTGCCCTGAGCTTTTATTTATAATAAATCAATGTTTAGGAAATTACATAATACACGCACTAATACATTATTAGTTCCTACTCACACAACCCATCCAAACAATCCGAACAATCACCACACCCGACTGGCCAAAGCTAGCGGGGACAAAAACACCCTACAACTGAGGGTATAAAAACGCCGGATATAGCGAGAAGGAAACAAGACTAAGATTATCACTTGCTGTCAATAGCTTCGAACCATGCCAATCTTCAATTGCTTCACGAATTGGGGTCAGCCTGCGAACTAATCCCGCTACTATGCCTTGAGCAATGCCTGCGTAATCCACCTTTGATGTTTCCGCTAGGTTTCATCGCTTCGGCCTTGGCTTTTGGGAGAAGCGCTTCATCCGGAGTTGTAAATTAAAAAAGGGAGAAATATCAAATAAGCCCTCGAACTTTCATAAAAAGTGCAAATAAGCCCTTTTACAGGAAGCTTTGTCCGACTGTCGCCATTTGAGGCGGTTTCCAGCGGATTTTATTGATAAATTTTTTTGAGCATCATCTTCATTAAATCTAGTTTACCCATACCAAATTTCAGCTAAAACTTCAATCGAGAAGGCAGTCAAATGATTTTATGAAATATATTGCGCTGTCTAACTGCGCAGTTATCTTCAAAAATTCATTTGACTGCCTTCCCGGTTGCATTTTTACCTGAAATTTGGTATGAATAAACTAGACTTAATGAATAAGATACTCAAAAAAATTCATCAAAAATTCCACCGGAAACAGTCCAAAATGGCGACGGCCAGACAGAATCTCCTATAAAAGGCTTATTTGCACTTTTTATGAAAGTTCGAGAACTTATTTGATAGTTCTCCCAATAAAAAACTAACTTTTGTTAAGTAAATAAAAAGTATATCTACACGCACAACTAATTGCAAGTGTTATTAGACAGCAAGATTCACAATATGGTCTGTTTGGTGACATTTAAATTTGCAATCATGCTTGATGTACACACACTTGTACACACCTTATACACACCATGTTTGTGAAGCTTTTTTTTATCTGTGAACCCGATTCATAGACAATATTTTGTTTGTGCAAAATATTGTCTGTGAATCGATGTTCACAGACAAAAAAACGCTTTCACAGACATAAGTGTGTACAAAAGTGTGTATAAGAGTGTGTACAAACATGCAAAATTAAAAATTACTTACCGATATTACATACTTCATCCATTCTTTAAAAGTTACAACATTGACATTTTTGCACTATTAACACACTTTACTTTGACTATGATTTTGTAATAATATATAAGTAAAAGAGTCGAATAAGACCTTCTACTATTATGAAATCATCACATAAGATCATGTACTCAATGAAGTGTCGTATAAATACGCCTAATTAAAAAAACAATTGGATGAGTCATAATGACCCGTTGACAACCTCTTATTCCGAATTTAGCGTACGTCTGATTATCTTTTTAAAATAAATAATAATGCTGATATTGAATATTTAGCTAAGATTGGCTGAAATACAAGGAAAGAATAATGACACGCACGCTAAAATCAGGATTACGATATTGTAAACGGGTTGTTAGGACTCATGCGATTGCTTTTTATATGTATGCATATTTATATGACATTTTATTGAGTACATGACCTTATGTGACGATTCTGTAATAGTAGAAGACCTTATTTGACTCTTTTACTAATATATATAATCAAATCACTATGCATAAAATGTCATTAAATTTTCAAAACATGAACTTTTTTTAATGTTTATGAATATTAATTGTAAGCCGGTAAACGTTAAAGTTAATGTGAAAATGATACGGAGTATTATTTGATAAATATTTGATTTATAAAAATGATGATGTAAAAGTAGGAGATTGTATTAAAAGTAGATTGAGATAATTTAGAGGGATTGGTGCGTTTACACGAGGATGCGTTTATTGAGAACACGTTGAGTCGTCGATTATTATTAAAAAATAAAAAAAAAAAAAAAAAAAAAAAAAAAAAGAGAAAACATAGGACAGCGTAGAAAGCGACGTTTACTACTCCGTATTTAAAAGAGGGGAGAGGAGAGATTTGTTTGCAAATTACGTTATGAAAGCTATGGTCTACCCTTACAAAATCAGCTGACTTTGATGATCGCAAAACTCCAAAACATGCACTCCGGGTCAGGGGGGCTACTTTTTGCGTTCCGCCATATTTAATGCCCAATTTAATAACTCAACAATAACTCAATCATAATTTCTAATATACGTACAACTCCATATTATAATACTCTCTGGGTCCCATATTTAACTCCGGTTTTGACCGAGCACGAGTTTTAAAATAGTGAAGTTAGTATAGTGGAGAGTTATGCAGAGGAGAGAGAAATGTGTAAGAATGCTTGTGAATCACATATTCTTTACCAAAAAGAGAAAAAGGAGATAAATTTGGGACGGACCGAAAAGAAAAGAATGAAGATAATTCCGGTACGGAAGGAGTATGCTGTATCGGTTCTAAATAAATGTTAGCATTATATTACGAGCTCTTATGGTATCACTAAAATTGACTTAATTAACCGACCTTTTTGTAATTTATGATGTCTTGACTAGATTGATTGTGTTGATTTATGAAAAAATTATATCTAAAATATACTGTATTAATAACATAAATGAAAAATTATATTATCAAAAATAGCTAAAATGATCTTCTACAGTAACTTCAGACACTGCAGCAAGAAGAGCATCTTCAACCTTATATTTTCTTATTATTGCACAAATCAGCGTGTGAAGTAAAAACGTACTGTCTTTGATGAAAAATTTGACTGATAAGTCACAAAAAGAGTCTCCAAACGGACTCTACATCTGTCCCATTAACATTGAAACAAGAAAAGGTGAAGTTGTTATTACAAAAAGTGGATTTATGTGATTAATATTGAATTTATAAAGTAAAAATAAAGTGAGAATGATTCAGAACCACACAAATTTCACCAAATTTGGTATAAAACCATTTTGTGAAACGGATAAAAAATGTATGAGATAATCTTAGTAGTACGGAGGAAGTTTTTGAAATGAATAACAACCATATATAATCTTTTCCTTAAAAATGTCATAGAGATGTATAATTGACTCTTTAAATTCGTTTTGGTAATCTTTAGATTTATTATTTGTACCGATCGCCAATTTTTTTAGTCATGAGCAATATTGTTATACGGAGTATTTATTTATCATAGAATGAGAGTGTTTTTTGGGGTAGAATTATCACTGTTGTAATTAGGGTTAGTTTGGTGGGGATGGTAAGTTTTCTACGCCGCCTAGTTTTACATTTTTAGTCTAAAGCAACACATATACAAATAAAAATTAAAACATTCAATGCAGAATACTATTCAAACGGAAAGTAATGCTTCATGATTGTCACGCCGACGATGTTATATGTCTTGATTTTTTATTAAAAAATGATGATACTTCATCCCTCAGAATCTCCAATACCGATCGAACGGTACGTTGGAAGGATGTAAATTGGACTATAATCACAATCTGATAGATAAAAAGTGAGACTCTGTCCTGATACTTGCAAAGATTCTATGCATTTTTAGCATACTAACCTCTTATCACAGTTGCTGAGATTCGAATACGAGACCTAAGGTGTTGTGGCACGTCCACCGGTGTTATATGTCTTGATGATGGTAGGGGAGGGTTGCGAATAACAGATAAAATTACACTAGGTAATTATCTCTTCAATAGTTAAGTGGTTGTATTTCTAATAAAATTATTTTCTAAGTTAAATGTAACTCAATGATTAGTTGTAATATTTGGTAAAAATACATTGAAATTGTGTTTTACAAATTTTATTGCTAAGTAAAAATTTATGACAAAACACTTTATTGAAATCATGTAGAATGGGCAAAAGTAAACAACATACACCTACATACTCTGATAATTTAGGTTTTATGAATTGGACCATCCTGTTCAATTTTTATTCATCAATGAAATAAAATTTACAAAACGATTTTAGTTATTACGTTTATGTGAAAAATATACGTAGTAACTTTTATACTTTTATGAAGTCACTTTGAAAAAAGAATATTTTAAAAAAAAAAAATTAATATTTGAAATAATTTTTCATTAAAAAATATAATTGGTCAAACTTGACTATCATCGACTAAGAAAAGTCAACTTTGCCAAGTTTTATGAAATGAAGATATTATGGGTTTGGGCAAGTCAAAGCTATCCGACTCATATCTACCGTAATGTAATGATGTTTTTAATTCGATTGGTTTTCGTGCCATGCAATACTGGCTTAAACTAGACTAGATTTAAATAGCCACGACCAAATCAGGCAAGCTTTGACAGTTGTAATTTTACTTCATATTTAATTTTAGTATTGATTTAAAGTATTGCGGGGTATATAAATTCATTTTTTGCTTGGGGCAGAAAAATCCCCAAAACCGGCCCTGTATGCGACTGCAACTAATGCAATTAAAAACATCATTATCTTTAATAATACTCCCTCCGTCCCGGAAAATTAGTCCCATTTTGACTTGGATCGAAGTTTAAGAAAGTGGGAATAAAGTGGAAATGTATGGTTGTGGTTGAGTAAGAAAAAGGTAAATGAATGTTAGCCACACAAAACTTTCCAAAAAGGGAAATGAGAACAATTTTTTGGGACGGCCCAAAAAGGAAAATTGGACTTATTTTATGGGACGGAGGGAGTATATTACGAGGTATTTATGTAATGAACAAGTTTTTTTGCATAGATTTTGAGCATCATATATCATCAACAATTTGATCAGTTTAAGTTATGAATAATGAAATTATATTTTATAAACATGACAAGTGATTGAAATTCTCTAAGAAGGAAATTCATTTAATTGTTATATACGAGTACCCAGCCATCAGACCAATAACTTGAAAAAGTTGGATGGGACCGGTGAATAATAATAATATAAATAAAAATAGTGTAATACGCATAATAATAATTCTATCTTTGACTTGCTCCTCGTGTTTTCTCTCTCACTCTTTCCGAAAAGGCAAAAACCAAACGCTTAAATAAAGCAAATCCGCATTCTGCCTTCCTACTCGCCACTTCTTTTGCATGTTCTCTCACTCATTCACGTTTTCTCCCCTGCCTCTAACCTCTTCTCTTTATATACATTGCCCCACCGCACCACCACTTTCACTCATCCATCTATGGCGGTCCAAGCCACGCATCTCAATCTCTTCCAATCCCAGCAACCATTCATCCCCAACAGGTATATACATATATGGTATTCTATATCCATACTGCTGCTCTTCTTCGCCTTTCGATCACGACTTTCGGGTTTTTGATCTGACGGGATTTTCTGTTGGGATTTTGCAGAGAGTTTTTGCAGGGGAATCAGTTCGGATTCGATAATGGCGAGATGAGACCGGCGGCTATGCCCCTCAACCTCCCCGCCGCCGCCGCCGCATTGCCCGGGCGTGCGTATCCTCTCCACCCGTCTCTGCTTTCGGACTCTGTTCAGGCGAAAACCTCGATGAACACCGATAGCTGTTTGACTTATAATCTCCAGCAACAGGTTCCCAGGAAGCGATCCAGAGATTCACTCCATCCTTCTCCGGCCGCCGTCCCTCAGAAGCCCAACCTCCATCAAATCTCATCTTTCTTCGGCGAAGACGACGTTCTCCCCATCGTTCAACAGTATCAGTTGGATATAGACAGCATCGTTTCTCACCATGTAATTGAATCCTTCCTTCATCTCCGCCCTTTTGATTTTCCATAGAGGCTCCGTTTTAGTTTTCCATTTCCTGATTTTATTTTTGTTCTCATTTTTTCGTTTGATGCTATGCAGACGAAAAAGATAAAAATGGAATTCGAGGAGCGACAGAAGCAACATGGGAGGGTGTTGGTCGCATCGATCGGAGAAAGGGTGATGAAGAAACTGAAGGAGAAAGACGATCATATTCAGAGGATGATGAAATTGAACATGGCGCTTCAGGAGAAGCTCAAAAATCTCTACGTCGAGAACCAACTATGGCGGGATCTGGCTCAGTCCAACGAAGCCACCGCCAATTCTCTCCGTTCCGACCTGGAACAGGTTTTGAATCACATCGGCGGCGAGCGCATCTCCGGCGGAGGTGCGGCGGAGGAAGAAGACGCCGGGTCTTGTTGCGGAAGCTATAATCCACGGCACGAGGAACCGGAAGTGGGCACTGGGCAGCCGGAGACCGAACGCGCCGGCGACAGGATGTGCCGGAAGTGCGGCGAAAGGGAATCCACTGTGTTGCTGTTGCCATGTCGCCATCTATGTCTCTGCTCCGTTTGTGGGTCCACCACAATGCCCAGAAACTGCCCTATCTGCAACTCCTCCATGAATGCTACTGTTCATGTTAACTTGGCTTCTTGATATTTTCTTCACCGTTCGTTGTAGAAATCAATAGAAGTAGTAGTTTTTTTTTACCCTTTTTTGGTGTAGAAAGAAAAATACCAAAAAGAAGAAAAATACCAGACGACGAATCAGTATAAATCTTTTTTTTAACCAGAAAGTAGGAAAGGCAATTGTTCATTCTTTATATGTACTCCCTACCTAATTTGTTAATCTATATTTATCTTTATCCTAATCCTCCTCGGCAAGCCTTTTTCCGTAACTTTATCAATTACGGAGTATTTAGTATTGATTGAGGAAAAGATGGTTTCACAAATTTTTGATTTTCTTTGATCTAATCTAATGTGATTTGTGTATGTCCCAAGATATGGTTTAATCCCTATTCAGAGCCATTTTGTAATTTAATTTTAAAAGAATTGATTATAAGTTTGATACATCGTAAAATAGAGTCACCTCATATTTTTACTCTTAGTTCAGTATATTAATGACAATCATCAAATGCACCAATTATCTATCTTTTTTTTTAAGTTAGAGATTCCGATTTTTAATCTGTGGTATTGTTAATATAATAATAATACCCCTGGACTAAAGTTTTGGCTTAATCTGTTCAAACTTTCAAAGCATCTTTTGTTTTACCTAGAATTTCTCACCATTTCTTTATAAGGGAAAAGTAAATTTCCTGTTTCCCTAGTCATCCATGTTAGGTTGCATGGATTGTTTTAGCAATATTCTTCATCGTGGGAAAAAGTTGATGATTAGGTTTACAGTTTTCTTTTTATGTTCGTATACAAAATCAACAATATTTTAAGGTGACAATTCCGGTACCCTTCTAAAAAATTGGGCATCGTACCTATCATTCATTTGATTGGACCACACCACTTTATCATTTTTAATTTATATTTAAATAATTCAACTGCTACATTCTCATTGGTCCATGTGGACAAATGTATGGTACCTTATGGGTACAATAGAATCTACCATATTTTAAACAACTATTTAAGAAATGAATTGCGTAACAGTGATTTGCTTTTTTTGAAAAGAAAAAAGCGTCAAAAACCAATTAGAAGCTGTTTGGAGGATGGGTGGGAAGAAAAAAGGGTAAATGATGAGGTGGTCGTGCTTAAAGCACAGTCTATTGGGATTCGACTGCGGTCATCATGTCCCATTGTCAACAGATGAGAATGACCCAAGAAATGAATAATTCAGATCTCTATCCTATTTGTGTTTCTCATCTAAAAAAAGATATACAGAGATCCATTTAAATCATATAAGACCCAAGACCGGTTCAAATTAAATACGACTAATTAGAAAATTTTGTTTTAAACAAAAAAAAAATTGTAAGAACATATAACAAAGTTAAATTATAAGGTAGTTCTTTTTTGAAAGGAAAATAAATTATATTAAATCAAACCATCCAAAACAATAACAAATCCCAAGAACTAAATCCCCCTCTATCAATCCAAAACAAAAGCCCATCGGCCTCCTCGTATCATGGTCATACATAGAACAGTCTATCTTAGAAAAAGCGAGACTAATCGCTGAAAATGTGAGAGTATAGAGGCTATTAGCAGCTGAATCAGTCTGATTGCCTCCAACCAGTAATCTATCAACTAAAGCAAAACAGAACACCCACCTACCCCGCTTATTGTTTGTCATTGTAGGAACAAAATAGAAATGATAAAACAGACTGGACTGAAAATAAAAGACTAGAAATAGTAAAACAGTCTTCCAAACCCTAGTCGCACAGTTCATCCATGGCGGCGGTTCAGGAGGGGGACGAATTTCCATCACTTCATATTCTTCCTTCTTCGCTTTTGATCTACCTGTGAGTCGCCTCCATCTCTTGACCAAAATATTGCACAAACATAACCAGTGTGAAAGTGAGCCACCTCAACATCCCTATCCACATCAATCTTCCTCGTCCTCGTTCCTCCATGGCCTCCATCTTCCCCGTCCGACGTTGACCAAATGGAACTGCTCCCTTGCGTAGACGAAGCAGCCCACCAACGAAGCAGAAAACTCAACGCAACATCTATCAAATAGCCGGTGGAAAACAGATCTCGCCCAAACCGTGGTGAAGCCCCGTCGACTATCACCAAACGAACATTAGCCAGAAAAAGATCGCACTGCCGGAAGAGAAGTCGGCCGTCGATCAGCCAATCTTCGTTCAAGCCCAAAACGGTTTTGGAGTTGGTCTCCGCTGCACCTATTCTTGATGTCGTAACATTTCCTATACCGTCCAACGTAATTCGCCGAGCGAAAGTAATTCGCCGGCCCCAAAACTTCCGCAGGCGAGGGCCAAGAAACCCTAGCTGCGCCCACTCGAGTCAGAGAGAGATGTTATACAGTAGTTCAATAACCTTTTAGTCATTATTTTCTCTCTTTATTTGACTTGTTTTCGAGTTATCAACTTTATCATATAATTTGTCATCAAACACGTTACTTTAAACGTCGCATATTGAACTGTGTAATAATCCAAATAAGTAAGTTTGAAATTAAGTTTGTGGATAAAGTTACCTTAGAGGATTCATTTGTTGGCCAATTCAGTTGATGCACCCAATTTTTCAAAATCCACCAAATTCAATCAATTAAACCGATTCAATAAGATTTCATTAATTTCAACAGAATCTACCTATTCGGCCAATTTCATTGCTACGTAACAGCCTAATAGTTATTTTTCCGAGCACTACCTATATTATTTCCGTTTCAGCTGTAACTCAAGGGAAAACGAATTAGAAGATGAAAAGGACACAATTTTTTTAATCCAAATCTACGTCTGCAGTCAAACTAAGAATATGAAAACGTAACGTATGATGTTCAACACATGATATAAACAGTAGATGATTATATAGCGAATAATAAATACGGAGTATGACTTATATTCAACAAGAAGTTTTAATTTTGCTTATTGTAATGTTCCAAATAACTTCTGATTTGTATAAAAAGAATTTTAATCGCCAATTATCACTATGAATCTTACCTTTTATTTACTTTTGGTTGATTGGACATAAATTAAGGTATAGTACTGGTATACTAATGTTTCCAATTGGACGAATGATATTTTAGATCACAGGGGATTAGATGTGATCATGTGACTAGATAGACAAGATAATAACAATCTTAAAAGAAGAGACTTAAATCAAACTCCCTATTAGATTACGAGACCCGATCCTTAGGTACAATTAAAAGAGGAATGATCCTTTTGAGTGGGAGGAACAGGACCCTCCGCCATGTTTGAGACGGTCCTCTTTATCAATTTTTTTGATTAATTTTTTTAACATGTTCTTTATCAAATCTAGTTTATGAACAAAGTATTTCAGCTACAAATTTTGATCGGGAAAGCACTCAAATAATTGTTTAAAGATAACTGCGCAAAATTATACATATAAAACATAGTTATATTCAAAAAATTATTTGAGTGCCTTCCTGATCGAATTTTTAGCTGAATTTTTTGTGTGGATAAAATAGACTTGTTGATGAACATGCTCAAAAACATTCATAAAAAAATCCATTGGGAACCTCCTCAAACGGCGGCGGTCGGACATATGATCCCGTCCCTCCGGCTAGACATGATCTTTTCCGCAAATAAAATACACATAAAAGGGGATTTACAAGACTAAACAAGTCATCAAACTTTAGAAAATCAAACCAATATGTATGTTTTCATTTGGACTAATTTGATTAAGTTTGAATACATATGATGTACTACTTTCGTTCTTAAATAAGTGCAATATGTTAAATTTGTCTCATTGTAAATTTTCAAAATCTGATTTTTAAAATATTTTTACTAATAGAGAATTATATATACTAATGGTCAAAGTTGTGCCTCGACAAATGTGAAAAGTTGATTGTTCACTTATTTAAGAACGGAGGAAGTAATTATTATGAATTGAGTCAAATATGGTCCAATCTGCTCGGGTATAATCTAGCCCCTAAATAAAACCAATTCAATTTAAGCGAAAACATCTAAAAATTTCTTTCATAAATGAGAAGAGGGGTGTTAGTGTGGTAGACGATGGTGTGCGTTATTCTTGGATTTAAATGCTGGGAAGCGTTAAAGGTTTGGGTATTGGTGCCTGAGTGTGGCGTGGGGTTGTGAACGTCAAATTTTGCTTTAACTTTCAACATACTTTCCTTTTACTTTATTACTCCTTACTTATTTTTAATGATGTATTGGGGGAATTGATTAGCCTCCCAAGACAAGTTTGGGTGCATGCCCAACTTTTGCAAAGAATCCAACTTTAGGGACTGTAGAGATAGTAGTGACCCATCCATTTGGTGAGGTGGTGGTGGCCCTCTTGAATTAGGTACCTGAGGCACATTGTCCTTGATGGCCTGCCTCCATAATGTCATGACTCTGTCTTGATCATTATTCATTCAGAAATAGAGAGAGAGAGAGGGGGGGAGATGGGATTGGCAATTGGTTGGGTTGGCCAGCCATGGTTTTGGGGTGAATTCCCATGGTGGTCCTCCTGGCTTTAAGGATCATCAAATGAATTGCTCATATCAAAGTCCTCACTTATTGCATGATTTATATGACAAGATTGGGACAACGCACAGAATTGATCATGCCCTAATAACGTTGCCCCATTCTCATATTTTAAGGCATTACAGCTTGTTCGGTAACCGAAAGTGTATGTGAGGAAACAAATACTTGTAGCTGTTGTTAGGCCTGAATCACAGCTATAAACAACTCTTATTTATTCATCCCTTTCCCCTCAATAAAAGACACAATTTCTTTTATAGAAAACCGCCAATTTGATCCTAATACTATCATGAAAACCTCAAATAGTTTCTCAAATTTTAAAATAATCAATCAAATCTCAGATTTTTGAAAGAATGTTTCATTGAGTCAATTACCAGGTTACTTGCCATGTTAGCCACTCACCTGATGACATGACACACATGTGACGATAGCCTCCTTTCACGCACTCTCTGGGATGTACACAAGAAGAAAGATACCCTTTGAGTTCGATGGATTAATGGTGTATACCTTAAGGGTAGAAGTGTGTGGGATTTTGTCCCACATGGCCGTGACTCACAACTCATGAAGAGGTTGAGTCAAATATGAGACAAAATACGAGGGTGCTTTAATAATTTAAATGAACCATTATGGGCCTTAATGCTAGGAGTACCAATGGGAAACTAGCATCGGTCAAGATCTATGAGCTTCTACGAGTAAAGGGGACCACTAGGACTCCAATGAGCTTCATTTGGAAGTCCTACATCCCCCCAAAATTTTCGTTTAATGTTTGGTTGGGCTTGAGAAACCGGCTGCCCACTCAGGATAGCCTCGGTTACCTACATATGGTTAATAGATGTGACTTGTGCAAGGATGGATTGGAAACAATTCCACACCTACTTTTTTCTTTGCCCTTTTTCTTGTAGGGTATGGGATGGAATCAAAGCCTGGATTGGAATGGGACGTCAAATGACAACATTACTAAGCTCAATTAAGTGGATCGTGAAGACGCACAAGGGATCAACAATGAAAGCCAAGGCTGCCCGTCTAGCATTCTGTGCCGCGGTCTACTATATTTGGCATGCGAGGAATGAGATACGATTTGATGGAGGTTTGAAGACGGAAGAAGATGTGATTGCAAAGATCAAGCACGTGGTGTATAAGATCCTATATAGCTTATACCCGCATGACATGGTCAACTTTTAATTGGTGGATGTTGTCTCCTCTTCGAAGCTTTGTCATCATCTCTTTGGGATGAGTATGTGTGCACCTTGCAACACCATGATTTTCTTTTTTGACTAAGGGGAGTGTGCATTATAACCTCCTCTTGGCCATGCATTTTCTTCGGATACATGTATTTTGATGTTCTGTGTGCGTGCACCTTGCAGCACCGATTGGTTTTTGAGGTTTAGGGGCATTTAGTATTGTATACTTAGGCCCCTTTGATATTGATTTAGATCGAATAAAAACCTCTTCTTACCCCTACGCTAGGTAGGGGTGGGGGAGAGGTTTAGGAGATCTAGAACCCATGATGTATAGTTTTCTTTGAGTGTTAATATAAATTTACATTTCATCCAAAAAAAATGACACACATGTGACGGTCCACATGCACGACACATCACTGGGAAGTGGATGACTAGGCTTCCATGTGTGTGTGCCTCGTCGACAAAGTCAGTGCTGGCTGACTGTCACATGTGTGCCACATCAACAGGTGACTTGCTGACGTAGCGGGTAACCTGCCAATGCATTCAATTAAACGTTTTTCATAGTTTCAGAATTTGATTGATATATTTAAAAGTATGAGGACTTACTTGACGTTTTTGTGATAGTATAAGAACCGAATTGATAGTTTTTTTTCTTTTATAGAAAAAATGGAACCCAAATTACTACTCCAATTTTCAATTCTAAATTAATGACATCTTTTAGTTTTTCTAAAAAATGACTCATCTACGAGTGAAATACTAGTAAAATTAATAGTCCGTAATAAAAAGAAATTAATATTTCGCTGCATTACCCACCCACTTACCTCCAACTAGGCATGTCAAAAAAACCTGATCCGTAAGGAGCTAACCTGACACGAGACATTTGAGGCGGGTCTGGCCCGCCCCATCTTGTAAATGGGGCGGGTCCACCTCGCCGACACAATGGGGCGGGTTTGAGTATTAATCCGTGTCGCCCCGACCCACTCAATATATAAGTATACATATTTTTTTGAAAAAAAATTATACTAGATATACAAGGCCGGTCCTGGCTGTTTCAATGCCTAGGGGCGAGTGATATATAATAGTCCTACTTTTTAAAAAGAAATTGTAAATTTTTTCTCTACTCTTTTTCTCTTTTTAACTATATCCCGCGGCCCATCAAGATTCGTCAAATTTTATTACATTTTAAAATTAATAAAATTTTAAATTTTCGTGGAAGAAATGTTTATACTATCACAAAATCACAAATCAATTTCATAACCAATTTTAACTAGAAAAGCTAAAATGCTTTCGCAATTTCACTATTTGACAAAATGATACTCTGCGGTTAATACTCCAACAATTTTAAAATATAGAAACTCAGAATCAAACAACAATATGAACAAATTCACAATCTGAATACTTCACGATGCAACAAGGCTATAATCAATAAGTAAATCAACAACAAAAAATCTAAATTCGGTGATAAAAAGTAAAAAAAAAATATCATATCATAAATTGTCAGATATAAGGGCGGTGCACCAAAGGTAGAATAACAGAATTGTAGATTTGTACAAGTCTCTCGTGTTTTGACAATTTGTTTACTATTCTTCTTACTCGGCCTAACCGGTTGGATGAAAATACGAGATAGGGCCAAAAACTTGGCCTACTCAGCCTTAATTTAACACATAAACATTGGGCCTAATTTTCTTTTCACTTTTTTTGGGCCTAGGGGCATCGCCCCTGCTGCCCTCCCCCAGGGCCGCCCCTGTAGATATATTTATACATACATGTGTGTGTGTATGAGGGGGCTTGTTCGGTACTGAAAGTGTATGTGGGGAAAAAACTTAATTTGATGGTACGAATGACATGGGCAGCAAGCGGCAGAACCGGACACAATAGGAAGGCTCTGGTCATGAAAAAACATTAGTTTTGCAGATTGGGCAAATGCCCTTTTTACTCCACACATCACAACAAAGTTCGGATAGCCAACACAGATAGGTAGGAATCCATGACTTTGGTGGGAAACACATTTAATGCAAGGTATGATAAACCCATGCATTAAATGTGAATGATGGACCAACGGTGAATGACATGATATTCCAACTTGCCATAGGGCGACACATCATCATCGCCCATACCGTTGAAGTAGTATAAAGAGAAAGGTATTGTAAAACTACTTGTGGTTTGAGACGTTTTCAAATAAGAACATGAGGTTCATCTTTTCACAAAGTAGGGTATGTGCTTTCACTTTGAGCTAAGTGCCCTAAATAAGAACATGATACATCACTTTCTTTCTGATCGAGTTAGACAGAGACCCTCAAAGGGAAAGCACATGTTCATTTTGTGAAAAAATGAACTTAATCCTTTATTTGAAAATCTCTCAAACCACAAGTACTTTTATTGTATTTTCCATAGTATAAATACCCTCATATTTACTAGGACAAATTGTACCTGAAATAGCATTGTAATAATATCACTTAGTATCTCCTCTTGTAATCCATCATAGTAGTGCTCGATAGAACCCGCACGGGTAGCTCAGTTGGTCGAGTGGTGGGAAAATTGGACCAAGTGACCAACATTCAAAACCCGCAGCGGCCGTGTAGATGTTACAGAACCTGAAATAAGGCTGGACCTCTGGTGCACACGTGTATATGGCCTACCACCGCTTTACTGACTGAGTCACCGTGATTAACCTCCCCACCATCCTGTCAGGGTGGTGGGGGGTCTTTGGGGTTGGGCATTCAACCTTTTGGACCTAGTAGTGCTCGATAGAGTAGGCCAGTTACAGTTAGAACACCACCGACCGGAAGTATGTTGTAAGAGTCTTATAATTAAAAGGATCTCATACATCTCGACATTTTGTTTTTACCCTCATATTTGTACATCTCAATCAACCACTCACGAGAGGTATTGTGTTGGACCTTCGTGCTGAGGGTAGGGGTGGATTCGGTTCGGGCCACCCGGTCCGTGACCCGGCCCGACCCGCTACTGTGCGGGCCCGGGACCGGCCCAGTCTGGCGGTCCGGGACTGGGTGTAGACCCGAACCGGTGGGGATGGGCGGGGCGGGCTCGGTTCCGGAAATAGTTGACCCGGTCGCTCGGGTCGGGCCCGGGCCCGGGTCCAACGGTCATTTTTTAATTTTTTTGATTTGGGCCAAAATAGCCATTGGGGGTGGGGTGCAGGGGGGTCCGGGGGGTTTGGGGGGTGGGGTGGGGGTGAGGGTGGGGGTGAGGTAATAAAACCTATAAATACTCCTAATCTTAAACATTTTTTCATATCTCTTCTCCAATTCTTCCTAAATCCTATTCTTAACTCTCTACTCTCTAATTCTCTTATTCTCCAATATATTATATTTATTATTTATATATCTACTTTATATTAATTATCTACTTATAATTTATAAATACATCACTAGTTAATTTGATTAAAGTAAACTTTAAATTACTAATTCGCTATAACTCGAATTAATAGTTAGATTAATAGTTAATTACTTTATTACAATTTTTTATTAATTGCTACATTTGACTCTAGTTTAAAAAACTAGTTAATTCTCATTATAGTTAAAGTTAAAGTTTATTAATTTCATTGTTAGTAAAAAAAATAGGTTGTACACAAAACTAGTTAATTCACTAGTTAATTTGATTAAAGTAAACTTTAAAATACTAATTTGCTACAACTCGAATTAATAGTTAGATTAATGGTTAATTACTTTATTACAATTGTTTATTAATTGCTACATTTGACTCTAGTTTAAAAAACTAGTTAATTCTCATTATAGTTAAAGTTAAAGTATATTAATTTCATTGTTAGTAAAAAAAGGTTGTACACAAAACTAGTTAATTTAATAGTATAATTTCATTGCTAATTTCATTTACTAGTTAGATTAATAGTATATTTTTATTAATATATTTGTTGCAATTTAATATTTGTTACATTTTTTAGATGGATCGTCCTAGATATTCGGTGATATGGGTAACCTCGAGCGCAACCGAACGAAATACTCTTATTTTCTAACATTTTTATACACATCTTCTCCAACTTCCAATCTCTAATCTCCATTCTCCAATCTCTATCTTCATCTCCATCTATTGTAGAATTATTATATCTACCATTTTTAAGATGGAAGGATTGGAAGGTCAAGATGCCGTTATACGGTATAATTTTGATAAGCGGAAGGACCTGAAGACCGGGATGTGGTACGCAACTTGCAAATGGTGGGAGGGAAAATGTAGCATGGGGGTTTCAGGCGGATACGGGATGGCAATGAAGCATATTAAGTCATGTGACAAAGCCAAAGGATCAGGAGGTGCGGGAAGTTCCGATTGATTACAATTTACAAAATGTATGTCTCTTGAAATTTGTTTTAATTTTCAAATGTAGTTCCTATTTCATTTCAAATAAATGCACTTGAAGTTTGTTTTTAATACTTGTATAAAACTATAAAGTATAAATTATAAAAAAAATTACTTTAACCGGCCCGGCCCGGCCTGGCCGGCGGGTGGCCCGACCCGTGACCCGGGCGGGTGGCCCGGCCCAAACCGGACCCGTCCAACCCGCGGGCCAGTTCCGGGTCCATGTGATACAAAACCGGCGGCCCGGCCCGGACCCGACCCGAGTCTACCTCTAGCTGAGGGGATTAAAAACCCCTACGAATTGAAAAAATGGTTATCAATTGAATTTACATATTTTAATGTATTATAATGGAAGAATATTATAATTTTAAATGAAAATTAAAAAATAGTTTTTTAGTATGTGTGTGTCTTCATATGTATTTGCATATGTAATATTATCAAATCATTCTACACAAAATTTATATATATAATTTTAATAATTTAATAATTTGAGTAATGATTAATATTAAAATGTTAATTGTACATGTACTCAATGTAAAGTAATTAAGCTGGTTAGAGGCGAGTACCCATCGAATATGGTGAGACATACTCCGTAATCGATATTGTCAAGTACTTCTGAAGTAAAGTATTTTAATTGTGATTTAATCCAATTAAATTGTTATTCATTGTGATTTAATCCAATTAAATTGTTATTGATTCCATTTTTTTGCAACATATTTACTCTCTTAAAAACTGAAATAGTATGTTTTTCTATGAATAATTTTACTAATACCGACAAAAAATGTAAAGATACCATGTTCATTTTAGCTTATTAAACATGTTAGTTCTTTAAATTCAGATTCACTTATGATAAAACCAATCTCACTATACTTTATCTATATCTGCGTGCAGAATTGAGATGCTTATTCATGTTTGTCACAAAATCTTCTCTCCCCTAGTATAAATGTATCATCAATTAAATATTGAAAACGGTATAATAAATATTTTTATAAGGCAAAGGTAATAATTTCGATTGGTGATCACCAGGTTCGTTATGTGTATTAATCACCCATAATTTAAAGAACACATCAAAATCACATGTGTGCAGATGAGCCATTCACGTATTCTTCCGAAAGAATAAACTTAAATGTTGAATGACAGAAAGGTCTTTATTATTCTTATAATTTTGGGCATCCAAACAAATATATGTGTGTTTGGATAGGTATAAAATGTACTCCCTCCGTCCCTGAATTATCTTCAAACTTTCCTTTTCGGCCCGTCCCAATATTATCTCCTATTTTCCTATTTTAGCAACTTTTACCATATCATTTTACCCTAATACCCTTACCATCTTTATTACATCTACCCACAATTAATATCCCCACATTTTCAACCACACACCCAACCGCCCATTATTACTCCGTAAACGCTCCCATTCCAACACCCAATTACTCCTCTCTCTCTTCTGTCGGTTTGTATTCATCTCTCTCGTCTCTTCCTGAAGCTTCCTTCTCTCTCGCCTCTCCCATTCCAACACCCAATTCCATTTACTTCTTCATTTTTTGCACCCTCTTTTGATAAGGCCTCCCACCGATAGCAATTTTAGGTTTTGTAGATCCAATAATGGCCAAAAACGAGCCATTGAAGGTCATGCATGCCGATGCGGTGGTTGAAGACTCAATTGATGCCTTGAGTTGGCCCGACGTCCCTGATTCCGAAGATCAGAATTAGTCACCTAGGGTTGAAGACAACATCGAAGGAGGGTGGAATGCTGATGGCGAGAAGAGAGGTTTACAACAGGGATTGGGCCCTAAGACTGTTCCATCTGTCGTTGATGAATTTATTGCCATTTACCTAAGTCCAGTGGATGAGTCTGTGCACATTGCTTTTGGGGTACCCTAAGGCAGTTGCTAGGCTCCTTATACTCTTTCTTTTGTCAAGATCTATGTCCTTGACTTGAGCAAGAGATAGAATCCGTGGTTTTCTTCCTACCTTGCCAGCCATCTGTCTGTCCACGTTAATAGGTACACCTTCCATCTCACATTTCATTGCTTTCTCCCAAATGAATGAGATACACCTTTCTGACACGTTATATTTCTGTGCTATTGCAGTTCGTACGCCTCAATGCAGCTTTCCATTTTGAGAGTTCTGAAGAAGTTCCCCCAATATGAGCTGTCTAACTTCATTAGGCAGTCTTTTTTTTTCTGAACACTTTCTGTATTTTCCATGTTGTTGTCCTCTTTCCAGATTGCCCATTGTGGTTCGTATATGTAGACAGCAAAGCTGCCAACTTTATTTCATTTTTGGAGGGATTAGGGTTTTTTTGGACTAACTCCCGACAATTATTATGGAGGCAAAAGTCAACTTTTTCTTCTTTTGTTTGTGCGCAGTACGGGAATAAAGGGGAAGGGGAAAATGGCCTTAGCTGGCTGTTGGGTACTGTTTAGTACCCTAAGAGGGGCAGTAAATAAATAAAGGGCAGTAATGTAAATGACTAGCCAAAAAGTGCTTTTTCTTAAATGTTGTGCCCGACCGAAAAGGGAGAAAAATCGGGGACGGAGGGAGTATGTGATTAATTTTAATTCCAGGAGTTTTGACATATTGTTTAATGAAGATGAAATTACTATGTGCATAATTCATACTACACCCATAATGAATTGGGGTTTCATAAATTAAATCTGACACCCATAATTTCCCATATTGAGAAAATTTAAAAATCATTTTTTATTATACGATGAATTCTAACATAAAAAGAACAAATACCATCGCGCGGGCAACGCTCGAATTAAACACCAGTGTTATACGATAAGTAATCCTATACCTAAAAGCACTACACTGAAGAGAGAAAATTCTCCCGCATGTGCGTGTGACCTAAAAATGTAAATTCGCACCTTATCGATTCTCTCCCATCATCTTCCCCGTATGCCCATTTCTCGCCCATCACACCAGAAAATCCTTCTCCTTTCTTTACCAGAATCACAGTTCTCTCAACAACTCAAGGAGTATTTCTGCCTTTCTCAACCGCACTGAAATCACTCTCTCCTGCCTGTGTTGACCTCTCGCTGGTCGAGGTGTTCGAGCACTCCATTAACAGAGTCGACCAGCATAGCTATAAGCGATTACCTCCTCCATTTTTCTTTTTGTGTAAATGAACGCCGACACCAGGTTTTTGTTCCCACTTTTAGTGTTTTACATCTTCTTTGCTTCCCAATCCGGTATGGTATTACTTCTCATTTCCCTGTTCCTATTAAGATGAAATGTGAGCCTTTTTATGAAATCCTAATCTAAAAGTACATACCATAGTTAAATGTGTCCGTGATTTAATTCTAAATTAAGAAAAGGCTGGTCAAACTGAAGCCTGTACACCACCATGATTTTCTACCCTTTTATATCTAAAACATTACATTTTCTATCATCTTTTTTCTCCATTCTCGTGATCAACTCTTCTAAAATTAGATAATAGAGGCAAATTTGTTAACTAAAGGAAATTTCATAGGAATAATCTGACCTATCAACAGTCTTCTCATGTTAATCAGAAATTTGAGTTAGTCCGATATAATCTAAACTTTATGACCTCAACAAACCAGTTGAGCAGGTCACTTGATCACGTGGATTTTTCTGATTGGTTTTACTATTATTTGGTTTTTCCTTTATCTTTTCTCTTTCATTTCCTTTTTCTTTTTCTTTTTCTTTTTCTTTTTCTTTTCTCTTCTCCTATCGTGTATGTGGCTCTGTGGAGTCTGTGTTGCGCATATGAGATTAATATGAGGACGCTAATAGGTGAGATTATTGACGTGCATTTTTCCTTAACTAAAACTGCTTCTTTTGAGTATAAATGGCTTGCTATTAGAGCTAAATATGTCAGAATTTCAACCATGTATGTTTGAATTTGAATATGCTCTTGGCTATTTTTCGTCACACATAATTTAAGTATTTCTTTCTAACATATAATGGCTCTACATAACAAGAGGTTCTGACTAATAAATACCCAAGTAAATGATTTTCACTATGTTATTGCAATTTTCAAATGCCTTGGCAAATAAATTTAGATATTTCCTTCCAAATGATGCTTATTTAAGCTTCTCCAAATTTAGGTGCATTGAAAGAAGGTGAAATCTGAAAAGTTCCAATTTGCAATATGTAAAGATATTTTTTAACTAAATTTACAGCCTTGAACATAAAACATCATATAAATCCAAATTCTAATCGTGCGAGCTTGTTCATAAAGATACCAAAAGAACTTCTTCATCTAAAAGTTGTACAATAAGATATGGGTTGTCTTCACAACTGCATAAAAATGAACATTCTCTTAGTTCCTATTTTTTACTTAAATCTAAAAGCATTGTACAATAAGATATGGGTTGCCTTTTACTCACAGTTTTCTCCTTTTCGTGGATTGCAATTCTAATACATGTATCCATTATTTTCTGGCTTCTCTCGAATTTGATTCTGAGAAACACAGAATGTACCAAAGAAAAGAGGGTAGATGGGCCAAATAAAGATTGATCTCACTTGGTAACTTTTTCATGGCGCATATATTTCATAGACAACCAGTAATGAAAGATTGTTTTGTATTATTTTTTTCTTATTTATGGAATTTATTTGTTCATGGAATTAATTTTTGTTGATGTACTCTTTCTATCAAATCTGACTTCATCATTTTTTAAAAACTTAATCTGTAGACAAAATTAGTTGGCATTGAATTTTAATTGATTCCAAATTAAACCATTTGGTTCCTTTATTTTCTTTTTTTCCTTCACCATATCTATTGTCGATTTATTTCGTAAATCATTTGAGTATCTTAACAAGGTTGAATGATATAGCTTTTTCATGACCAAAGTGTATACAAATCTTATATAAAAGTGGTTGAGTCAGAGTAATAGACAACTTATACAAGTTAATCAGCTCTTTATTGTTCTTTAAATTCGACTAATGAGCATTTTGCCATATCAAAATAACAAACATCTTCTTAACCTAAACGCACTACATATGAGAGAAATTTCTCATGTCTATCAACCTGTAGCGTAATTGTTATTTCACACCTACCATAAGCATACTGCACCATTGCTGGTAGTGTGTATGGAGCATGTTGAAGTGAGGCATGTTCCTAAAAAAAGAAAAAAATGGATGGTCTTTTAATGAAGAATTTTCAAAATTTTCATCTGATACCGACTTATACCAAATTTCTTAAATAATGAGTATTTTCTTCATGAAGTTCGATCTTTTCCCGCTGCCATAATTCTTTTTTCTGTTTTTAGTATTTTGAGTTGGCATTCTATTTTATAACTTTTCGAGTTTGTTAGGAGGATGATAAACGGTTATGTGATTTGTTTGTTGATAACTAGTAACCATGTCCTGTTACGTGTAAGTATCATTCAAAGGGTATGTTCGCGAAAAATTAAAAAAAGTTATTTTCTGCTTTGGTTTAAAAATCTAAAAAAGAGTGTTTCCAAGTAAAAGCTGAAAATGAGTACGTGTTTTTAAATGACAACTTCTACTTAAATTAACACTTAAAAACTAAAAGCTAGAATCTATTTTTTACCTTTTCTATTACACAAAAAACACATATTTTACCAAATACTACCAACTGTTACTTTTCGAAATCATTTTTTCTCAAACACTACCAACTTTTACTATCAAGCAAAAGCAATTGCAAACACTCCCTAAACAATTGCAAGAACTCGGTAGGCCTGTATCCTCTCCCTTCTAAGTCGTTGTGCCACTCCTTAAAAGTAGGAAGAGTCGTTGGAGTAGACATCTCTCATCTCCCCTAATTGTGCCTACTACCTAGTGGATTTTTGAATGGGGATGGAGTAGCTGTTGACGTTATGAGCAAGGAAAGAAAGCAAAAATACACGAAAAGATGAGACAGGTGCAGAGAGGCATGAGAAGAATGGATTGATTAAAGGAGAAATATAATATAATGTCGTTAACATATATACATACAAGTACGTATAGTATATATCTAGGAATCTTTATGTGGGCACAAGTTATAGGTGACACAAGGACAAAAAATTGTCAGTCCAAAATGTATTGACATTTCCTTTTTGCATTGTAGTGTTTTCAATTATGATGGCTCTTCCATCGCTCTCATGGCCTGCCCGGCTCCACCCCAAAACCATCTTTCCCCGAATTTGCCTACTTAAGCTTCCTCTGCGCTTGCTTCTTCATTTCATTATCTTTTCAATACTAACAATAATACTCCCTATCATTTGCGGTTTTGCCACGGTAGACTAACATATACTCCCTCCGTCCCATAATTTACTTCCAACTTTTCCTTTTCGTTTGTCTCAAAACGAACTTCCATTTCCCTTTTTGGTAAAGAATTTGTGGTTCACATCAATTCTTACATATTTCTCTCTCCTCTGCACAACTTTCCACCACACAATTCCCACTTTCTTAATCCGTGTGCCATTTGTACTATGGAAGTAAATTCTGGGACGGAGGGAGTATTAAAGTAATAAAAAGTATATGGTTCTTATTTATTTCAAAAAGAGAAAAATAACGTCACCGATAAAATCCCGAGAACTAATAGAGATACGGGGTAGTTTATTACTCCGTATTTCATACAGAGTACTCCCTCCGATTCCGAAACAAGTTCCATATTTGACTTCACACATATTAAGAAAATAAATTTGACTTTACTGTGAAGAACACTGTTTGGCACTGTTTGAACACTGTTTGGCACTGTTTGAACACTGTGTGACACTGTTTTGATGTAGATAATAAAGAAATGTTTGAAAGTGAAACTTAATTTTGAATCTGCCCGAAAAGGAAATGTGGAACTTGTTTCAGAAACGGAGGGAGTATTTTATTGGTGCGAGAAAAATGCTTCAACAAAGTTAAATATTTTCACTCATAAAAGAATCTTGGAGTTTTCATATTACTCTATCGAATGGTCACTATCAAATGATCATAACGCTCATGATAATTCAAAAATGGTCTATTTTCATGGGAGAAACGTGTTTTGCTACTTAGATTTGTCTCCACGGAGTAAGGTATATATCAACACTTACATCTTATCCTATAAAGTATTTCAATTTGTCTGTGATAGAATAGAGAATCCACCATTCCACCAATATACAAATTAGCTCTGAAAGTATTTCAACTTATTTTCGTAGTTGAATTGTGGTGCATGCATCAAATATAGAGGGAGTTCATAGGAAAAATAATTTAGTGATTTGATAAGTGCGTATTTCAACACGCATTTGATGCATGCTGTGAATGATTTTTGTCAATTTTGCTAACTTAAATCTTTCATAAAGTACCTAATTAATTAAGGTATAGTTTACCAGGTTTGGTTTATAATTGATGTTTTTAGAGTTAAAA